TGATCTAGTTATCGAGGATTAGACAAGTACATACACGACAGCGACAGTTTGTTCTATGGATAGACCCTCTTGAAAACTATTGAGCAGATATCCGTTGCCGTGATGATTATTCACTCGGGCTCACGTAATTACTCAGACCAGTAATCGGGCAGCTTCTCTAACCTTCATTCAATGCTGGCTTGCAAGTTTGGACTAAGAACACCATATTTCAGCTAGGGGCTGGTGCTTTTCCTCAGTTATGAGTGACGTTTAGCCAGAGAAATGCTGTGCAGGTATCAAATCATTTCTGCAAGAACTCAACCATCATCATTCATCATGAACTCAACCATCCTCAGGTATGATTCGGTTAACGACTAGAGCCGGGATTTCAGCCGCTGGACGAGTCGACAATGTCTAGCCTCTGTGATCGCATATTTGGAGCTGCACTTCTGTCCCTAAAGATAACTCCCTAAAGACGAGTAGGATTAATACGCCTGTCAGGAAGGAATTCCGCGATCCCGAGGAGGCGCTGCGCAGCGCCCTCTCCAATGAAGTCACCCTTATAAGGACCCTATCCAAGCTACAACATACCGACCCGAACCCCCCGCACAACGGACTGAAACATCCCAGGTATAACCATCCTACGCAAAATGTCCAGATGCCACGCCTACTTTGTCTCAGGTATAAGAAGTGTATATTGGCACACTATCGCAGACAATGTAGAATTCACTTTCATAAAACTCTGATAATGTCAAAAATCAAATGGAATATTGTACAGTTCATGAAGAACCTTTTGTATTGTTGTTTATTTTTTTTCGCACTATTTTATTCATTTATGCCTGGAGGTTTTTCCGAAACGAAATATATCCAAGTTCTCAGTCATGGTAAAGTCCCCAGAAGAAATTCTATATGCAAGAAAAACAGAGGGATGTTCCCAACAACGACCTGTAGAGAGTGTCTATGCAAATGAGGACCCTTTAATTCCAGCTTGAAGGCATAAGGCACGATAATTTGGTGCTCGGTCAGAAATGGTGACAGGGGTGCTATACAGAGAGAAATGGGGCAAAGCAAAGTGAAACTGTCAGAAACCTGCAAAAAAGCCATTGCTCTACTCGATTCAGAAGGCGGTTTTGGACGAGTTCGTCGTTGGGTTCGTGCCAATGACCGCTACAGTAAATAGCTGCATGTAGTGTGTACTCATACATCCATGCAGCACTGCAGCCGCTCCATATAGGGGTACCTTCCTTGGAAAAGGTGCCACGCAGACCATGCTCGGGGACGCCGAAATCTGTCCTGCCCGGCGTATTACTCCTACATGTCTTGGGGATTTATCATGCCAACTGCCTCTAATGATATTTCTCGATATAGTAACGGCAATTTTTACATTGGAGGCCCACTTTCAATCCAGAGCGAGGAAAATAAGGAAGAAACGATTTGCAAGAGCAGTGCGGCTTGGGCGGAGTATCCTGCACTTCGTATTCTTTACTGAAGGCTTCATGGGTTTTCCGTATCTATTTTGATCGAGCCAAAATATCTTCGGAAAAGCAAGCAAACTCGACATGAGAATGGGAGTAGCGTAAGTATAACGTGCTCTCCCCCACCTCCCCCTCCCCCACCCCTCACCCCACAAACTGAACCGCGTATTTTAAAACATGTTAGAATTGTACAAATTTGATTTGGATTTGTTTGACGGTCCCATCCCTGGATCGGAGCTTTCAATGCAACACGAAATTCGGAATTCTTGGGAACAATGAAGGCAATGATGGGCTAAAAGAGCACACGGGCAGTGTATTTAGGTGGACAGTAGTTGATTTATTATGAAATTCGATAGCATAGCAAGGGAACTCTGCCCTGACTCACCAACAAAATAATGTGCTGCTTAATAATACCCGGATGATTGCAATGAAGGCAGACGAATACGAAGAAAAGCGAAATAACAAGCGCCAGTAATAGACACATCAGCACTGCACATAACCATCTGAAAACAGAACAATTTAGTCGACTTTCATTTTGCGACTGCTCAATGAAAGTTTACGATTATCGAAATAGCATTGCGGCTTTTTACGCTAAATGTCCAGATCGCGAGACGCCCTACTTGTCTAGGTATAGAGAAGTGTATATTGCTACATTCAACCCTATTTTGGCGGGAGACAATGTAGGAATTCATTTTCATAAAACTCTGATAATGTCAAAACAAATGGAATAGTGTACAGTTCAAGTTCCCATGAAGAACCTTTTGTATTGTTGTTTATTTTTTTCGCACTATTTTATTCATTTATGCCTGAAGGTTTTTCTGAAACAAGATATATCCAAGTTCTCAGTCAGTCAGTCCCAAAAGAAATTCGTTATGCAAGAAAAAACAGAGGGATGTTCCCAATATTTCCTAGGCTTGAAGCATAAGGCAGCGACAAATTCTGGTGCTTCGGTCAGAAATGGTGACAGGGGTGCGTAGTACAGAGAGAAATGGGCAAAAGCATAAGTGAAAACTGTCGAAAGCGCGAAACCTCAAAAAAGTCATTGCCTTCTCACGATTCGAAGGCGGTTTCTGACGATTCTCGTTGATTTCGGTGCCAATGACGCGCTAAGGGTAAAATCAGCTGCATGTAGTATTTACTCATGATATCCATGAGCACTGCAGCGCTCCTATCAGTCTCCTGCCTCGCATCGTACGTCTCTTCCGAATGAACGATAAAAGCACTAAGCATCGGTTTTACTTTCGCCTAGCGGGCGAGGGCGGGTGGTCCAGGTGGTATGTACAGCTTAGAGGAGCTAGAGGGGTACCTTCCTCGGAAAAGGTGCCACACAGACCTTGCTCGGGGGCACCGAAATCTGTCTTGCCCAGCGTATTTCTCCTACTTGTCTTGGGGATTTATCCTGCCTTTAGTAATGATTATTTGTCGTTATAATAACGGCAATTTTTACATTAGAGGCACAATTTTGATCCAGACTGTGGAAATAAGGAAGAAAAGATTTGCAAGAGCAGTGCGGCTTGAGCGGAGTATCCTGTACTTCGTATTCTTTACTGAAGGCTTCATAAGTTTTCTGTATCTATTTCGATCGAGCCAAAAGCCAGCAAACTCGATACGAGAATGGGAGTAGCGTATGTATAACGTGCTCTCCCCCACTTCCCCCACAGGGTCCCACCCCACAAACTGAATGCGTCATCAAACATGTTAGAATTTTACAAATTTGATTTGGATTTATTTGACGGCATCCCTGGATCAGAGCTTTCAATGTAACACGAAATTCGGAATTCTTGGGAGCAACTGAATAGCATGAATGCTAAAAGAGCACACGAAGGGGCAGTGTATTAGTGGTGGATGGTAGTTGATTTACTTATGAAATTCGATAGCATAGCAAAGGAACTCTGTCCCTGACTCACCAACAAAATAATGTGCTGCTTAATAATACCCGGATGATTGCAATGAAGGCAGACGAATACGAAGAAAAGCGAAATAACAAGCGCCAGTAATAGACACATCAGCACTGCACATAACCATCTGAAAACAGAACAATTTAGTCGACTTTCATTTTGCGGCTACTCAATGACAGCGGAAGTTTATGATTATCGAAATAGCATTGCGGGTTTTGGTGATCGAGCGTGTAATTTGGGGCGTAGTTCAGACATCGCGCTAAGCCTAGCATGGAGTACTCCGTAATTACCCTAAAATCCCATAGATAAGAGCGGTCCATAGATAAGGGCGGTTTGTGCTAGTTGTTGTGATATAAAATTTTAAAAAGTTTATTTAAAATCATTTTTTACCGGTAAATAACACCGCTCTTATCTATGGAATTTTACTGATCGAATGGGCTCTTCAAGTTCTATCCAGAAATCAGATTCCGGCATTTCTAGAGAGATTCCGGCAGAAATTCCGTTAAAATCGCTATTTTTCTATATGAATTGTTTATTAAGTGGGCGGGGTTTAGAGTTGAGGGGCGGAGCTTCTTCTAAACTTCTTCTCCGATTTTTATTTATCCATCCATCAAGTTAGAGGGGTGACTGCATTCAATTTCAATTTCATTCCAATTCATTTTTCACCGGTAAATCAAACCGCTGCTTACTATGGGATTGTTAGGGTAATTGACTTGACCAAAACGGAGAGCACTTGGCTCACTCTTCAAATTAATTGGGTCTTGGTGCGAATACCGCGCACGTAAAACTACTTGCGACTTCTTTCTCGGCTAATGGTATGCGCTGAATCAAGAGAGGTGGAACGTTTCTTCCGGATCGCAGGGACGGCTGCGTAGTAAGCGTTGCAAGGAGGGAGGGGTGGTGTGCGCAGTATTGGGGTCCAATCCACTCGACGTAGCAGTGCTGTGGCGCGCTCAGAGCACGCCGTACTCTGGGAATTCCAGCGAGGGGTTCATATTTGGCCAGTGTGGAAAGGTGTGATCGATATCGCCGTCTTGAAATAATTCTTTTCAAACTGGCTCTCCTAGTTTTCCCCTAGTTCAAGTGTTAGCGATATACGTACATGACTCTCTCCCTCCCCCCCTTGCTCGATTTCAGTATTTCCTTATACAAATGGAGGTTTTCAAAAAAAACTCCGAGAAGAAAATTCAAAGAAGTTGGGAAAAAATGGGAAGATGTCTGGAGGAAGCAAGATAAGGGGGAGGGTGGTGGTGAAGTCGTACAGTATGGGAAATTGCGGGGTTGTATCCGCGGATTTTTTTCCCTCGATAGATAGGCATAGACTGGTCGCTCTCGTATTCTGTCTGCGCCTATGTTTCTCAAGTCGGCTGCGTGTGTCTTCTCGACTAACTATGGAATACACTGCTAGTGCGACGGCGCGGCACGAAAACACCTATTCATATCCCTCAAATACCCCTACAGTCGCCAACAACGCACAGTTTCTCACGCCGAGCAGGAAATTCAGCTCATCTACAAAAGGCGTCATCTACAGAATTACCGAAAATGAAAATTCCTTCTGCCCTCATTAATGCGTTCACCTTGCTTGCTCCTCAGTCCTCATCATTACGGACTGTCGGGGCGGCACAGCCGCGCTGCACTGTGACGCGACAGCGGCTGCGGCTCGGTGACGGTGAATAAGCTGATTTCGATGGAATTCGGTTGCAAATTCCCGCTTTTTTAGCTCTTCAAGCTTTGAAAGTGGTAGGCGAATTTTTGAGCAATTTTGAATTTTTACTAGCTCTGAATTCCTTTATTTTTATGTCAATTGTTATGCTCTTTTCCTTTTATTTTGCCATATTTCAGGCATTTCTTCAAATGGCTTGCATTCTTGCAGATTCGTTCAGAGTCAGTACAGTTAAAAATTGTTCAAACTAAACTCACCTTCCACTTTCAAAGCTTGAACAGTTGAAAAAAAGGTAATTCGGCAGCCGAATTCAGCATGGAAATCAGCTGATTTGCCGTCACCGAGACACAGCCGTTTTCGCGTCACACTGCAGCGCGGCTGTGCCGCCCTGGCAATCCGTAATGATGAGGACTTACACAACCACGCCTTCTTTAACTTCGGGATTTGGAGTGTATGGGCAGAAAACCCCCACATGTGACATCCGGTGCATGACCGAATGTGCATGTCGGCATTTCCAGAATGCTTATTTTTTCAAATAGTCAGGCTTTAGGTAATCATGTATTGTACCAGCGAAAATTTATCTCTGTATGTTTTCTGGCACCGTTTTTTTTTGTTGACAAAACAAGCAGAATTCTGACTGCGACCTTCAAGGATTATTTTCGCAGAGAGGATTGGCCTTGATGCAGTCAGGAATCCAACGTCTAAACGATGCAGAAACGTTGAAAAAGAGAGCCTAAACAGTTTACGTGGCTAATTGTTGCGGCAGCTATTCGATGGCAAGGCTACACACACGGATTAGCTGACTTTGTAGAGAAATGTCTGAAGTGAAGCGAAACAGGCTCCCAAACCAGCGATTGCGAGTTGTCTTCAAAAGGGAAATTATACAAAAAAGCCCTGCTAGAAGATAACTCATAACTGGTTATTGGGTTGAACATCGCTAGGTGAACCAATCCTTCTAGCTTTCCTTGAAAAGATAAGTCGGCAACAGGCTTTGCCAGAACTACGGAAAATTGCTTTGTGGAGGACCAAGACAAGGTCTGTCACGTGCGATAGTTTATAAATGCAATTTATGCCACGGTGAACGTAGCAGTGACATTCAAGTGCCATGTTGCCTCTGCAACGAATTCTAACGTTTATACGCGCCTCAAGTCCGGTATCAAGTGTGAAGGTAGAGGACGTGGTTGGACCGAGCAAGCACCTAGACCTTCAGACTGAGCACTTAAAAAATGATCCTTTCAAAGTAGGGACGCTTGACTGTAGGATGAGAAAGTCGAGATGAATATAGTGTAGTTCGCTGCGGACGGTTGGGCGTGTCAGTGCGGCTGCGTTTGGCGCGGTGCCAAACTCGTTCTCCAGTTGTTGAAGCGGGCAAGTGACAATACTGTATCATATCGTTCGTATTACTCGTTTTCTACCACTTTTTGTCGCATGCGCGTTTCAACAAGAAGGCAGAGAACGGTCTTGACGCTGTGCGCACTCATACTGGCTGACACGCCCAACCGTCCCCAGCGAACTACACGATACTTCACATAGGCCCTAATTCGAGCGGTAGCTGCTGTCGTGAGTAAGATGCGAAGCCAAGGTAGCGAAGACGAGTAACACGGCAGCTCTATGTCACGTCACATCTGCTTGCCTTTGCTCTCTCTCACCTAAAAGTAAACTGGTCTATACAGGGGGGCGGCAAAAAAAGTCACTTGCCTCACTGACTTTCGAGGCGCTGTAGTAGACTTTAGTACATTATTGTCGGACAATTCCACCACCTTGAGATCAGCGAGTTAGTCGATTTCTCCGCCACCGTAGACCACCCTATTGAACTCCGCCCGAACTAGGTAATTGAGTGGATTCAGGTCAGGGGACATACTTCAATATTACATCTTCTTCAGGTACGAAACGCCCTTCCATTCGAAGTAGGCGGGAGTTTTTCCAAAACCCTTCGATTCCATGTGGTGGCACCCAAACCTGTAGCAGCACAAGGTCTCCAAGAAGGTACGGGCGACCACATGTAGGGAGGATATTCTTCTCGAGTTGCTCGATGTAACCGCCAGCGCTCACCTTCAGTCCGGGTCTACAAAGAAAATATCGGTCTTCCCATTCCAGGTACCCCGGTCCATACCATCAACTCGCGCCTTGGCGACTACGGTGAAGATGATGTCCTAGACCGTAGCGACGTTGCTGCTCGATGTTGGAGGTCTTCCAGATCGAGAGTACTGGTCTCCAGGTAGCTATCCATGGGTGACTCCATACTAGAAGTTTCGCAGCTGTTTGGAGGTGACATCCGAAGGTCTTCTCCAGTCAGGTTGCGACTGGAGATGACTTCATATTTTGGTGTACATGAAGGTGATGGGCGAGAGCCAGCTCCTGCTTATAGAGGAACATCTTGGGTATCTTCCGCCCTGGTACTCGTATCCACGTCCTCTGTCTGGGCAGCGAAAACTTTGCTGATATGTGACTCGGTCGAAGTGACTTTTTTTGCCCCCCCCCCTGTATAATCGTTCAAACGCTTCCGAAATGGGTCGCAATCATGGCACGTCTTACTTTAGGGATCTAGAAGGGGGTCGCTAAAGAGATGGGGGTCGCAATTGGCCACCAAAGGTGAGTTTCGTATTTGCCAAGTGCCAACTGAAAAAGAGTGTTCGCGGGTAGTAGGAAGTTGGATAAATTCAGAAAGATGGTAGTCAGGATGGGGTACAGGGAAGAAGGAGTCGTATCCGAGGAGAGCAGTTTGTGGAGGAGGGAGGGGCGTATTTAGCAAGAATATTCCTCATCGGCAGGACCAGGGCCCTGGTCGCAATACAAGCCAACGCTGATAAGACAGGTTGTGACGCAGCTCATCGCGCCACCGTCCCTTTCGGCTACCTTCACCCTTAACCACGTCCGCTCTATGACAACCAATATGATTACTCAATTTAAGCACAATTTAGAGAACTAATCTTTTAGCTGCAACAGAAACAGGAATCTGGCTGGTGTTCAGTAAAAACGGCTTTTTAGAAAGACCTACTCGAGCCTTTTGTCACGGAAGTGGGAAATGTCTTCAGTGTCTCAATTTGATCATCATAGTTACTCACAAAGGTGTGTAGTACTCTCGCATGTGATAGCCGATACCTTCAGTCCAGCCATGTAACATACCGATACCAGTGAGGCCGACGATCAGCAAGACCATCTCACCCGCTAGAACAACCTGAAAAGGAAAGGATGGACGGGGACCTGGGGACCGCGAGTGTGTCGCCAAAGAAAAACTTACGTGATGGTCCATTTATGTATGAGTCTTCAGAGTGTGAAACTCACAAAATAGTGAACAGAACAAGAATATTTCTGAAAAGGAGGACGAGTCAGGAGGGAGGGCAAGTGGAGCGAAAGCGGCAAACTTACCAGCTAGCGCTAGAACTGCGATCCTAAATGTCCAATTCGGTTCGGAGTAGTCGAGTTCAGCCACTACACCTGCTAGCACTCGAGCAGCAAACAGGCAGAAGATGAACTGAATAGAATAGCTCGATCAAATCACTTACGAGCATGACAAAGCGGTAATTTCGCTCGGGCATTTTCCATAATA